TCTCTCTTCTCTCTCTCTCTCTCTCTCTCTCTCTCTCTCTCTCTCTCTCTCTCTCTCTCTCTCTCTCTCTTCTCTCCCCCCCCCCCTCTCTCTCTCTCTCTCTCTCTCTTTCTCTCTCTCTCTCTCTCTCTCTCTCTTTCCCACTCCCTCTTAAACAAATCTAACGTCCATATCGATCAACGGAAAAGGTGTAATGCACTAAGGAAGGAACAAAAAATAAAAAAATAAAAAAATAAAGAAAGACATATCACCACGGTACTTGCATCAGTAAACAGATAGATCGCAAAATGTACAATAAGACATATCGATAAAATTACATATTGCCTTGTATGTATACTGTACATTTTTAGTATTGTATAAATCATATCAAATATAGAAGATACCCACAAACCTATACAGACAGACGCATCAATACATACAAACTTCACAAAATAACAACCAAATGCTCACAGGAAAAAAATGATAAAAAAAAAAAAAATGGCGTGCATGTCATCCGTTATACGTTTCCACGGGACGACCGCTTGACTGTTGCTGGTTTGTAAATATTTAGATGTGTGGTTGTGTTTGTGTGGGGTATGTGTATGTGTGTGTGTATGTGTGTGTGTGTGTGTGTGTGTGTGTGTGTGTGTGTGTGTGTGTGTGTGTGTGTGTGTGTGTGTGTGTGTGTGTGTGTGTGTGTGTACATACACAGTGTATATTTATGTGTGTGTGTGTTTGCATGTACAGCATGTACATATGTATTTGTTTTCTTTCTTTTTCTTTCTTTTCTGCATGTATGATTGTACCCCATGCCATATCTTAATTGTCTCTCTAAGCGAATACTCATTAAAATTAATCAAGAAATAGTAATGAAGTCTCAGAGGATAAACAAATATTAAAAGAAAGTATGTTCCCTCAAATGCCACGAAAATGTCCACATTAATGATTATTTTCAATCTAATCATTATTCTAACTATTATACTGCCGTTTCGAACAAAGCGTTCTTCAGCTATACTTTTAAGATGTCGACTGTTATTCTAAGATATACTTCCTGTTTATCACTGGTCGTCTTAATTATATCAGCGTGCCATTACAACGTTTGGTTATCGCAGTTAATGTTAAAGAAGTGAACGTTCGTAGAAACCTTAGTGTCCCCTGTAATGTTTCCGTTTTCTTAGAGCATAATGATCTTACATTTTCTTTGAACGGTTAATTATAGATAAACTTTTATATATCCATAATGGATTCATCTGACTTAAGAAGGGCGTTAGACAAATTACTAAAGATAACAATAACACTTCTATGATTGATGCTTTCGAGAATCTATTAGACTTTCATCAATATTAGTTGTAACTTGACATTAGAATATGTCAATTGCAGCGGACTAGCTTTTATCAGATCCAGGTCTTGATATGAAAATAATTTATAATTTCTTTCTGTATTCAAGCTTACTGAAGACTGTGTGAAGATTTCTCGAATCATTTGATTAATCTTAAGAAATCACAAATATTGGCAAACTGATTAGGAATCCGATGACATAATTTATCATGTCTATCAACCAACACATGTACATAAATGTGTGTGTGTGTGTGTGTGTGTGTGTGTGTGTGTGTGTGTGTGTGTGTGTGTGTGTGTGTGTGTGTGTGTGTGTGTGTGTGTGTGTGTGTGTGTAGGTGAATATCCATATGTAGACATAGTCATAATTATATAAATGTGTATGCGTATTTCATAATATCCTGTGGTATTTACATCTCTAACATTGTAATCTATTTACTTAACAAATTTATAAAGCATGGCAGCATAGTTTTTCTTCCGTTGAATTGCAAAACTTCCAATAGTTTGTGGAATGAGTCTACTTATGTTTATATATGTGAATTTAGCCTAAACTTTTTTGTCCTTTTCAATCGTGTGGTATTTTCAAAGTGCGGGCAGCCTCCCTCACAACAGATTTTTATTGATAAACTATGGATTTCCGTGATCATTGCGTTGAATCGGAACTGCTTTGGGAATTTCGAATATATCTATCTTAGCAAATGTCAAATTATCATAAACTCAAAATATCGAGAGAGAGAGAGAGAGAGAGAGAGAGAGAGAGAGAGAGAGAGAGAGAGAGAGAGAGAGAGAGAGAGAGAGAGAGAGAGAGGAGAGAGAGAGAGAGAGAGAGAGAGAGAGAGAGAGAGAGAGAGAGAGGGAGAGAGAGAGAGAGAGAGAGAGAGAGAGAGAGAGAGAGAGAGAGAGAGAGAGAGAGAGAGAGAGAGAGACAGACAGACAGACAGACAGACAGACAGAAAGAGACAGAGAGATTATCACGGCATTCATATCACACATATTACCACCGCTACTCACACACACATTACCAAGTGGCCGCATCATTCAATAAATATTAGGACATAGACAATGCCCGAGTCACTTTTACAATCAATGTACTATCTCCGATTATCAGTGAACGACGGATCCCAAGGCAAGCACGTTAGACATACCCAAACAACTGGTACCCCTTTTATGCTCTGGACAGGCAGTAGGCAAATGGTAGTGAGTGTGTAAAGGTTAATCACTGCCTCTTGACTTCTGTGAAGACTGCTAGGGGTAGTTATATTAAGAGTATCTTTGCTGTGGTTAAATGGTACTGATCGTGGTGTAATTTGATTCGTTTGGAGGTGATTTTATACTTTCTCGGTTTATGGATTAATCTGTTGTTCATGACGCTGCGTAGATCAATTAGTTATTTATCTGTTTGTCTATATTCCAATTTCATAATAAAATACAGTGAATAATACAGATAATGACAATGGTGATGATATTCTTATGCCAACTTCTTGTCCACAGGGCATTTGAAATATACTTAAAATAAATTCTTTAAGACGAATAAAAAAATCTATATATTGTAAAAAAAAAATGACTTACGAATCACCGTACAATGAAGAGGTCGAGGTAATACCTTTACTACGACGCGAGAAACAAACAGGTGAGTGCCTTGTCAATTAATTCTGTGATTGTGTTACGAAGTTTAGACTACTTTGCTGAATATATATTGCATGTTGTTGCCTTAAAGATTGCCAGTAAATATCTTGATTGGTATAGAATCATGCGATATATAATTGTAGATTATCAGTAAAACTCCATATAAGCTGGGATTGGTGCTTAATAAGTCTCGGGTAGTAGTTTCAGCTGCTAATCTGGTTTCTGTGTTAAGTGAAAAAGGAAATTTAGTTGTTGCTAAGAATTGTTTTGCTAAAAATCACACACACACATACACACACACACACACAAAAAAACAGTGATTACTTAAACAACTCCCATGGCGAAGGATCATTGGTTAGCCACCCCATTATAAATACTTAGTCACCTACATGATGTCAAGGTGGTATCAAGTAGTTCGTCAAACACCGCAATGGTGTTGGCACCAATAAGAAAAGTATATATGTGTGTGTATGTGTGTGTGTGTGTGTGTGTGTGTGTGTGTGTGTGTGTGTGTGTGTGTGTGTGTGTGTGTGTGTGTGTGTGTGTGTGTGTGTGTGCGGGCGCAAATGTACACACATCTATATATTTACTAATCTACATATGTCTGTATGTATGTATGCATGTACATACATGTATAGAAACAGAAAAAATAGAATGACAAAGACAGAAACAGATAAAAATAGAGTGATAGATAAAGACAGATTCATAGATACACAGAGAGTAGGCAGACGCAAAGGCAAACGAACAGTCAATCAGAATGGCTGGAGGACAGATAGAGAGACAATTCCAGAACAGAGAGAGAGAAAAAAAAATGAAAATAAGAAAGGAAGAAAAGGAGTCCTTGTGATTTTTTTCTATTCTCGCAAACGTAAAGAAATTGACAGCAGTGAAAAATAATCCCCCCCCCCATTTAGGATTTTATATACTTGGGAAAAAATCTGAAGACGTCTCAAGGTGTTTGTGAAGCAACGGTGGGAATTCCTGTAATGCGAAATTCTGAAGATGGTTTTCTTAATAATTTGGGTCAATGCCACGTCTTTCTATGTTTATCTGCATGTTTGCGTTAGTCTCTCTCTCTCTCTCTCTCTCTCTCTCTCTCTCTCTCTCTCTCTCTCTCTCTCTCTCTCTCTCTCTCTCTCTCTCTCTCACGCTTGCATTCACTCACTCACTTACCCACTCACTCACTCACTCACAGTCGCACTCACAGTCACGTTCACATCCACCTTCATAACCATACACACCCAAACACAGAAGTACGAGAGGCGTTCATTAAAGATTTCCCCTGACCCACTTCCCATGGACGTATAGTTATTGGTCTTTCTCCACATAGGCCCCACTAGGAGTGACACACTCCTCCTATCGTTTTATGCAGCTGTGGACTCCTTGCTTGTAGAAGTCCACCGTTTGCGTTAGAAGCCATAAAGTGACTTCAGAAATCAATGTCTCATCATCTTGGAATGTTTGCCCTTTATGGAAGGAAAGAGGTACAAGTCAGATGATGCAAGGTCAGGAGAATATGGAGGATAAGGAAAAAAGTCATAGCCACAGGACCGCACTTCCATCTGGGCAATGTGAGGGTTGTGAACAAGACCGTTGTCTTGTAGGAGACAGACATCTTTAGTCAACTTTCTGTGCCTCTTGATTTTGATAGCCACCCACATTTTCTGTAGCTGTGAAGAGCAGTAAGCTCCTACAATTTTAGTAACTTTTGCCAGGAAACCCATCATACCTAATCCATGCTGGTCCTAAAAGACTGAGAGCATGACCTTACCTGCCGAGGGTGTGACACGTGCCTTTTTAGGGGTCTGGGCCTTAGTTTCTGTGTTGGACCTAAGTTTCATGCTGCATAATCAATCCGTCAAAAGAGTCCTCCTTGTTTTCTTGACAAAGAACCTTGGAACCATGGACAAGTTCCTGCTTCTGGAAAGGTGTGAGTAGCAGACAACTTTTGAATATGCAAATAGTCATGAATGATTTTGTCCACAGACCCACCATAAATCTTGAGCTAGCTTTCGAACATTAATACTGCGATCTTCCAAAATGGCAATGTTCATTTGATGAATGGTGTCCTCATCAGTGGCAGACTGTAGTTGCCCTGGGATAGGAGCAATTTCCACAGATATCCGACCATGCCTGGACTGGCGATATCAACATTAACAACGTGATATGATGGGGCATCCTCCCCATGAGTTGCTTTCATTTCATCGAAGGTCTCTTGTGGTGTGCAGCCATTCAAGTATAAAAAGCTGATTATGCTCCCCTGGTTCCATTTTCACACCTTACTGCATTTCCATTGCTGTAACAAAAGACATGTTATGAGTTACGGAAATCAACACATGGGCCATAGAGATGTGTATCATTATGTATCAAGCTGTGTCTGTATGTATGCATTTTAGTAAATCATTTAGAATATATTTTAGGTTTGGTATCAAATGTCAGATTTACTGATATGATATGTATAATGATCTTATTACATATAATGTATCATGCATTACATAAAGCAAACTCCTCCCCACATGCACACACACTCACCTAAACACTCAAACTCGTACTTATACCCATGACTATAATCATACACACACAAACAAACATGTCTATTCATGTATTACTATATATATAGCATCTATTGTATAATACATATTATGAACTTTTAAAGCTACTGATGGAACATAATGCATGGATAATATTTGCGCTATGTAAAAGGTTGGCACTGGAGCCCGAGGTACACGGTGGCGGTTCTCGGCTGCCTCGGCATCTTGGTCGAGTATTGCCAGCGGGTCAACCTCTCCATCGCCATCGTTGCCATGACGGGCTCAGAAGGCAATAATGGCAGCCACGCCCTCGACGTTTGCCCCAACAACAGTTCCTCCGGAGCGCCGACGAAGGAGGTATGTGCTGCTGGTGAAGGCAAAGTCTAGACCAGCGGTTCTTAACCTTTTGATTACCACGCCTCCTCTAGGAATTTATCCTTTCCTTCATGCCCATTTTGCATTTAATAATCTTCCCTCCCAGATTTTGAAGTTTTTCTTTTTATTGAGTAGGAATTAGCCACATTATTTTAGATTTATTGTTTGACCATGCTCTCGTTAAGAGAATAACAAATAATGTTAGAGGAATTCCTGCTTTTTCTCAAGGGTTCCCCCCCCCCGCTCCCTTTGGATATTACCACTGGACTTGATCCTAGATTTGGTTGCATGGTTATGAGGTGTGACGTTCAGTGTCTTTTTTCGGTCTTACTCTGTTAACCCTCCCCCCTCCTCCCCCTCCTCTCTCTTTCTCTCTCTCTACATATATATTAGTGATGATTGTCATAATAACCCTAACAGCAATAATGACATGAATCCGGAATCTAAAATGATCACACCAAAAACAAACAACAGACACAAACAAACTCAAAATATCAAAATCCTCCTTCCCCCCCCCTCTCCTTCTGGCCCCGCCCCTCCAGCCTGCCAGCGCCGCCGAGTTCAGCCACTGGGACTCGCAGACGCAGGGCCTCCTCCTCAGCAGCTTCTTCTGGGGCTACGCGGCCACCAACGTCGCGGGTGGGCGGGGGGCGGAGTACCTGGGGGGGAAGATGGTGTTCGGCGGCGGCATCATCACCTCGTCCTTCCTGTCGCTCATCTCGCCCGTGTGTGCCCGGGCCAACGTACGGCTCTTCATGGCAGTGAGGGTCCTGCAGGGACTCATGCAGGTTGGCGGGGGTCGGCAGCGTCGTCGGCATTGTCACTATCACTATCATTATCATTACCATTATTATTATTATCATCGTCATCACCATCATCATCATCATCGTCGTCGTCATCGTCATCGTCATCATCATCATCATCATCATCATCATCATCATCATCATTATCATCATCATCATCATCATCATCATCATCATCATCAATATCGTCATCGTCATCATCATCATTATCATCATCATCACCATCATCGTCATCATCACCATCATCATTATCATTACCATTATTATTATCATCATCGTCATCACCATCATCATCATCGTCGTCGTCATCGTCATCATCATCATCATCATCATCATCATCATCATCATCATCATCATCATTATCATCACCATCATCATCATCAATATCGTCATCATCATCATCATTATCATCATCATCACCATCATCGTCATCATCACCATCATCATTATTATTATCAACAACAAAATCATCATAATCATCATTAATATCATTATCATCACCGTCACCATCATTATCATTATTATCATCAGAAATAGATTTTATCATCATCGTCCTCCTCATTGTCATCGTATCCTTTATCACTATTATCCTTATTGCTACAATTATCATAATTGTCATAATAATTATTGTTATGACAATCACTCTGTTATAGTTATATTATCAATATCAGTGAGTTTACCAATAGTGGCAGTATTTTTTTCATGATAATTTTTTGTTGTTATGATAATTATTTAACATACTTCTGCTAATACATTTTAGTAAATGTAAATGTAAAGTATGTGAGTGTGTGTTGGTGTACATATGTATACTATATATGCACACACGCACGCAAGGACACACAGACACACACACTTACATATGTACACATATATGTATATATACATATATAAATATATACATATGTATGTGCATATATATACGTATATATATATATATATATATATATATATATATATATATATATATATATATATATATATATATATATATATATATATATATATATATATGTATGTATATATATACATATATAAATACATACATATGTGTGTATGTGTGTGTGTGTGTGTGTGTGTGTGTGTGTGTGTGTGTGTGTGTGTGTGTGTGTGTGTGTGTGTGTGTGTGTGTGTGTGTGCATATATACATATATATGTATATGTATGATATATATATATATATATATATATATATATATATATATATATATATATATTACATATATCCATATATATAAATATATATATATGTATCATATATATACACATACATGTATGTATACATATATATACACACATATGCATATGTATATATACGTACAGACGCGCGCGCTCACAGACACACACACACACACACAGACACACACACACACACACGCGCGCGCGCGCGCGCGCGCTCTTGCATATTGCTCGTCTAATGAACATCTATTTTTATATGGCTTGCGAATTATTAAAAGATTAATTCAAGCAAGTAAAATAACTTACACTTATTTCTTGTTTATGTTGTAATGACCTTTGACTGTTGCATGATAGGGCGTGACTTTCCCGTCAATCAATGCGATGCTAGCCACGTGGGTCTTGCCTGCCGAGAGGTCAAAGTTCAGCACCATCGCGTACTCAGGTCAGTTAATATCAGTTCATTTGCTTTGTTTTATATCTTAAAAAAAAAAAAAAAAAAAAAAAAAAAAAAAAAAAAACAGACGATGCCAGATGTCGAGATAATGTTATGAAATTTGGAGATAAGATAGAATTGTATATTCATATCAGCGAGTAGACTAACTGGATTAATGACTCATGGTAATGCGTTATTATCTGTGTATATATACATGTCTTAATAGCTAAACTGAATGGTATATGAAACCAACTGTGTAATGGCAAACATGTATAAATTTCATAATTTTTGTATGAGGTCATGTGTATTTTGTGCTGACATATACTCAGAAATTCACAAATGCACATCAATGAGTCACAGTGATAAAAAAGTCCGTAAATAATGAGTGTAGGTAGACAGACGAGTACGTATATATACACAGATAGATATAGGTAGATATAGATAGATAGGTATAAAGAGTGTAAATCAGCCAGCCAGCCACCCAACGAGATAGATATAGATTGATAGGCAAATATATAGTTAACAGAATAAATTGATAAGTGCCAGTGAGGACGAGGCAATATGACGTAGACTGAAACACGTTAGAAGCAGGCACATATAGCTGTATAAAGATATGAACACTTAGTATAACAAATTTCACAGGAGCACTCAATTTTTTTTATTTTCAATCAGTAAACATCGAAGTTTAGAGAAAAACTCGATATTAATAAACACCGAAGAAATAGCGATTTGATTTTTATTGTATTTTGTTCATAAACGAACTTGCAGATACAGGGGGAAAATGCTTCCAAATTAATGATCTATGGAGCGAGAGCCACAAAGATACAAAACAGTATGAAAAATCTAGACAGTTCTTACTCAGGCTTCCAGATCGGCACTGTAGTGGGGCTCGTGGCGAGTGGATGGCTGTGTTCCTCCACTTTCCTGGGTGGATGGCCTTCCGCTTTCTACGTATTCGGGATCTGTGGACTGATCTGGGGCCTGGCCTGGTGCTGCTTCATCTACGAGAGGCCGGAAGAGCATCCCGGACTCTCGGATGCTGATCTTAGGATGCTCAGGCTTCACCAGGAGTCGGTGAAAGGGAAAGAGGTAAGAAGGTTGTCCTAAAAGAGAGAATTTTACCATACCTAGGACATGCAGAGGAAGTAAAAAGTGTAGTAAGTAGGTAAGTCTTATAGTGAAATGGCTATGGATGGGCTGAAGTAAGAAACTAGTGTAATAACTACTTAGATAATAAGGTGCAGTAAATAGGGAAGTGCAGGTACTCAAACCATTGTTGTAGCGGGAATGCACAAAAATAAGAAGTAATTAATATCGTATTGTAAATATAGAAGTGAAGAAGTTATAATCAAAGATATATAGTAGAAAGCAAGTGCAGATAACAATCTAAAGTAGGAAGGTACCTTAACAACTAATATAAAAAGAAGTTAGAGTACGTATAAGATGATATAAGAAGCTATTCAAATACCATACCGGATACTGACGTGACTGAATATTGGGAACTATATTGTTTTTTTTTCTGTAGCTTTCTCCATTTTCAGACGTGGTAGCTAATCCTAACTAATTTTCACCGTTCTCTATCGTTCACTTTGTCTCTAGTTAACTCTCTCTCACAAATAATTCTTTGTCTTATTCTTCCACCTCAAGAATCTATATTTTTGTTTTGCTTTCAAATAGGCAGATTAGTCGATAGGTTGATATAAAGACAAACAAAGAAACGGATAATATTAAATATATTCATG